CTCCTACCATCCCAGAGATCTCCCATTCGGACTTACCCTTCAGTTAAGAGAGACTGGGGCAAGCAAGGCATTTTTTTCCTCTTAAAGAACTTACCCTTGCGTACAAGAGCAACGTTGTCAATTTGAATTTCTCATAGTCCAATGCTTTTTGTAAATAGATTTCTGGGTTATTAACTCCTTTTATGGCAAAATAACCGTCTGTGCCCTGGCAGGGGGAAAAAGGAAAACCTTTACTAGCAGACTCAATCACAGACATGTTCAAAATACTGCTCATTGCTGTGTTTGTCAACCCAATCAGACCTTTAATCCTGGGGACCTGGGGGGTTGGGCAGGGGGCAGTGTCAGAATGCCAGATCTATTTAATCTCTGGTATTGCATGCTGGAGTTGCCTGGCTTGTCAGAAAGGTTTGTTCATGTTTCTGTGAGTTTTATTCTCCAAGATCCCCTGCTTTGCCTGCCTATCTGCTCAGCAGGTACTGGATGAAATCTTTTACTTCATTTATTTTCTGCCCAGTAGGTTGCCAACAATCCTTAATTTTGGGACCATGACAGACAAGCAATGTCACATCCATGCACAAAACAGATCAAAGATGGCTCAGCCTCTGAGAGCGAGCAAGATCACTTGCCTTAGCCTAGCACAACTGAAGTTTGGAAGCACGTGTAAAGCCAAACTGAAATAACATATGTTGCATTTTACTTTATAACATTTTGCACTTGCTCTGGTTCTCCTTTAATCTTATGTCTTGACTAGAATTCCTCTGAATTTCTAAATCACTCTGGATTTACACCAGTGTGAGTGCAAAATCTGGCCCCAGATCTGAAATTCAAAAATTTGTGGTTTCTGTTGACAACCCTTAAAATCTGTGGGGTTATGGAAGTAATGGAGGCAGAATGTAAGACACTGCCTGCTCACTCCACAATACTTTTAAAAAATGTAAATATACATTAGATCTAAGGCAGAAATTCTCCCCTGTGCAGGGGGTGAGGCTCTGGCACAGGGTGCCCAGAGAAGCTGTGGCTGGCCCCTCCCTGGAAGGGTTCAAGGCCAGGTTGGATGGGGCTTGGAGCAACGTGGTCTAGTGGAAGATGTCCCTGCTCGTGACATGGGGGTTGGGAGGGGATGGGATTTAAGGTCCCTTCCAGCCCAAACCAGTCTATGATTCTATGATTTTGTTTCTCTTGAATTTACTTTCTTTTTTTTTTTTTTTTTCAGTTTCTAGAAGGCCCTTGCACTCTAGGCTGGCATCAATTTAACTTTGTATATAATTCATTTCCCATGAAATGAAGCAAACCCCTTAAGAGCAAATAAACTAAGTCACTAAACTGAGACCTGGGGAAAGTGGAGTCTGCCTTTGGCTCTGCTACAGACGTTTTCTGTGATCTTGGACAGCTCATGTCCTCTCCACTCTGCATGGACACTGTTGGCAAACAGGACAGTAACAGCTTTCCCTATCTGACTCAGCACAGTTCTGAACTCTGATACAAAGGTGTCCTCCGATATGGTTACAGACCATCCCAGCAAGAGTTCCCTGTATCATATGTCTCAGAATATCCTAGATCAGAGTTTAGTCTGTCCAGTTTAACAAAAGTGTGTGCAGTAAAGGAATTCAATACCTGCAATGTTGATTGCTCTGTTCTGTTAACCAAACCAATGTTTGGTTTTTGCAAAATACGTACCTCTTCATGGAGCTGTCAGAGAACTAAATTCAATAGAGTAACCTTAGTCTCAAAGATGGGGCTCTCCTGAATTACATACAAAGACTTCTGCAGAGCTACCATTTTTTCCCCAAAGAACAAAGATGCTCACCGGCACTATTGTTGTGAGTTCATAAAAGATGGTGTCCAGGTCGGCATCACTAGCGCTTAAAACTTCACGAGCTACAATGGTTGTATTCACTTTTTTATCCTGAAACAAAGTTGCTATGGTTATTCTCTCTGTGAAATGGGCTGAAGATTTCTCCCTGCTAACCTTTTCTTAGTCCTACAGCACTGAGTGACCTGGTGCCCTCCTCACTTCCATAAAATGCTTACCTCGGGAACAACTTCGGTGAGATTCGTTTGCTTAAACACTGGGCTGTTATCGTTCATGTTAAGAATGGTCACAAGAATTTCCAAAGAATCACTCTGCAGAATGGGTAAAGTGAGAGAATCAAAGACAAAAACAAGACCATTAGAGGCTGATCCTGATCTGCAGAGTGACCAGAAGGGATGGTGTAAGGAGCACAGCTGGATAGGGGCTGGATGGGACTGTGGTTTGCAGCCAGCCCAAGGTAGGGGTGGAAGTGTGAGGGGGGTTTGATCCCACCCCCTCTCCACTTGCAGAACCTTGGACACTTTCTCTTTGACTCCTCTCTTGAGAGGAGTGTGGTATATCCACAGAGAAAAGGACATCTCATCCCAGTCTGTGGACTAGGAAGAGCAGAGGGAAGCACATGCTGCCCTGCAGTACCTTGTAACAGGACTGAGCATTCGGAAGAGCACTTACCTGCCCAGCAGTGTTCTGACAAATCAGGTATACCAGCAGCAAGGTGTCTTTCTGTATGCAAAAACAGAAACCCAGCCATTGTAGAAACAAGCCAAAATGTACTAACTCACTCCAAATTAAATGAGATAAATACACACATGCTGAATCAGAAATGCTACTGGGCTTTATCTGGTTTTCAGGCATATCTAACTTTTCCTTTCTTTTCTTTACAACCATCCATCAGTGCTGGGATCTTGTTTATGATGCAGTCAAACCAGACCGCCCTTCCAGCTTCTCTTCCTGTGAATCCTGTAGCATGTTGGCAGAGCTAATTGGCCATTTTCTCACACTTCAGGTGAATTCAGAGATTTCTTTTTAAATTGAATGAAACAGAACTGTACCATGCAACAAGTACAGTGTTGCCTGCAGGGTGTTAGCTTTGTCTGCTGTTCTTCATTCAAATAAATGTGGGGTTTTACATTAGAGGAGAAGCAGCTTAAGGATGCTTGTGGCTGTGTACACAGCACTCCAGGAAGGTAAAATAATTCAGCAGCAACCTAACTGAGCACACTGATCGTGTATACTGACTTTATGCTTCACACAAGATCACCTCACTGCTCAGAGCTGTGTTTTCTACAGGCAAAGAGGGTTCATTTTACATGAGTCCTGGAGAGCTCTGAACACTACAGTTGTCACATTTTTGGTTTTAAAACTTCCCCTTCCTTTAATTGTCACAGACTCATTGGAGGAAGGTGACAGTAGGCATGCCATGCATCCCCCCCTCCTCCCTATACTTTGCTTGTGGAAGGACTGACCTCCCAAGCACTGAACTCAAACTCAACTGAAATAGGTTTATTTTTCAAAGTTATTGCCTAGATCCTTTAGAAACAGGTTACAAAACCCCGGAAGTCCAAGAGTCCAGGTTGAAACTCACTGCACCCCAGAATTACCCATCTCATCCTTACAGTCTGACAGCTAAAGGCTTACCTCATAGTCCACACTTCGGTTCAGCTGCAGCTCAGACCCCTGTATAGTGAAAAAACTGACATCGGGGGAAGTAGGATCAATCATTACAGTGAAGTTTGGTTCCACAACGATAGTGGTCACCACGTAGCCAGGAGGGTTATTTTCATAAACACTTGGTTTGTTATTATTGACAAAACATCCTGGAAAAACACAAATGAGACACAAAATTGTCCCGGGATTCACACTGAGACAGAGTTGGGTGTGATGTGAGACCCGAGACCCCTCTGGTTACCGTTGGAGAGAAGGCTGTTGAACAAAGCTGTCTTGGAGTAAGAGTAAACATCTCCCACCTATAATGGTGCAAATGGACCTCCTGTAAGAGCTTACCTTGTTGCTGTGCTGAAACATGTGTCACGAAGGGCAGCAGAAAGAGCACAGAATTGAAAAGCCAGTGAGAAACAGCCATGGTGAGCTGCCAGTTGTTGAAAAATGTCCCTGTTTCTGATTAAGCTGATCCTCTTCTCACCCTGTTTCTCCTTGTGCTGTGTTCTGCAGTCACTGTTTTACAAAGGCAAAAACATTGGTTGGCTGGAGTGGATTGCTGCAGTTCAACCTTTGCCTCTTTGCCTCATTGGATGACTTATGGAAAGATATTTACCCAGTCACAGAACCTGATGATGCATAACTTCCAGTTTCTACTTTGTTCCTGGGTCTTTCTTATCCTAAGCTCTCTGTAGCAACAAGGATACATTTGATGCATTTCAGAATTCAGAGCCAAACCTCCCAAGATGAGCATGAAGGAAGACAAGGGCTGATACTCAGGAAGTTCTTTTTATACTCCAGCCTCTGCCAGTGCTCAGATGCTGCATTTTAGCCAGATGGCCATTAGTGACTTAACAAAATACATGCTGTCAATGCTCCTTCCAAAAGTCCTCCATGAGGTCTTTTTCCTAGCAGCCATTTCCTATGGACCAAAATAAATAACTGTCAAGTATCTCAGTATGAGATTTGGTGTGAGAAGAATGTTGATAAAACACTGATGTTTTCAGTTATTGCTAAGAAACATACTGAATCAAAAACATAGCACTATTCTAGATACTAAGAAGAAAAATTATCTCTATCCCAGCTGAAACCAGGACACTTCTATCAGAGAAGAGAATATGCCAGGCCGCATGGTGCAGGGATAACATGTGAAGTTCATTAAATGGCGGGAAGAGCTTTGTCTTTAGTGGCTATGAGAAAGCTGAGCCAGTAAATACAAAGGCACAAGGGAATGGAAACAATATTTTCAGCATGTTCTATGTTGCGTAGCTCTCAGTATATTTCTCTGCAATAACATCTAGCAACTGGCTAAGTTTCTGCTAACTGGAGGCCCTGATGCCGGCCTCTTTGTATGGTTGGATTGGCCATAGAAGATGTGGCCAGGGACACCATCCAGTCCCAATGTGCCTCGTGTGGGGGAAGCCTGGCAAAATACTTCTCCCCACCCACTCGCATTCCTAATGGTCCAACACCTAGTAATTGTACCACCCTTATTGCTGTTTCCCAAAGAGCAGCCGAAGCACAGGCGTAGCTAGCAAATCTTTATTAGACTTCAGAAGCAGGCAGCCAGATGCTAACACAAAGTGGAAGTGATGTGCTTCATTTAGGCTCCATCTACTGACAGCAATTCACACTGACATATATTTCACTCGATAATCTAAGAAGTTTTATTGGGTTTTGGCTGCTTTCCACCATTTTTTTTATTAGCTGATCTCAAGAGTTTTTCCTAAGCAAATTCAATAGCTTCCCTGTTTATTTTCAAGGCTATATACATGCAAAGCTGTCTCCTTGGATGTTTCTTTCCTTTCACTTTCAGTCGAAACTGTTTGTATCTTCCTTCATGTCTGCAACCAGCTGCTTAGAGATGGGGCAAACGTACTGGCTGGTAATTGCAGCAGCTTCCTTGGCATCACTGTCCGAGTGGCTGTTGGAAGGGAAAAAATGAGTGATAGTTTGTTATTGCTGGGAGCACAGACTGCAGGAAGTGTGACAAGGCCACCTTGTAAAATTCAAAGATGATTCCAAGAAGCAGCTATGTGGTAGAGGGACTCAAATCATGGCTGCCTGCAGCCACGCACCCCACAACTACACAGGCGAGCCTATTGCTGCCATCATCCCCATTTATTCTAGGCAATGTGGACAAAAGATACTAAGGACCAGTCATTCCTCCTAATTTTAGTGATTTAACAGTGAGATGTCTAATTGAAAGTGGTTGGTCACTAGGAAGAGACAATGTCCAGATGCTGGGATGGCCCATCCTGAGGTGTGTGCTTGAACCAATATCTGAATCAAGACAGTGTAGCAAAGGCTTTCTGTTAGATAAGGTTTCCAAATGGGATGAACAATTGTTATAGTCAGGATGACAACTCTATGATTAGAAAAAGATATTATTTAATTTCCCTGGGCTTTATTACTTTTAATAACTGGCTCTTGTATGCCACTTCTTAGCTGTAAATCTCAATCCCAGTTTCTCTTTAGGTAAGGCAAAACTGAGTGCCAGATGGGCTTGGCATGTAGAAATAGAGATTACCATGAATGCAGGTACAGAAATCAATTGAGATTGCACACACCCACACACCACTTTGCCATTAGACTAAAGCATTTGCTTTTCTAGCTCTGCAAACCATCCCTGAGGGTGTGGTTGCTGGCAGAGTGACAGGAGGTGCAAAACTGTGTGAAGAAGGGCTGCAATTCAGCAATGATAGTCCCCAAGACAGTGCCTCACAAGCTGATAGGGAATGAGGCAGAAGTGATTTTAAAATATGGACAATTCAATAAATCTTCCACCCTTCCCCTTTTTGAGAGTATTTTTGAGGACAACAGCTAAGCCATTCTGATCTGCTGCATTATATCAGACTTCTGTGCTTCAGGCAAAAACTGGGCATTTACAAGTTACTAAAGTCCCCTTTCATCTTCAATACTTTTGTGACCAGCACCATAGAGGTGACAAATCTGTCCCACCTACCTGGTGTTTAGAAAGCTCTGGTACAACCACATAAAACAAAGTTCCTCGTGGCTGTTTTCTTCCTCTCTTCCCTGTACATCTGTGTTGACTGGGCCTGGAGAGCTGGTTTAGATAAAGAAAATTAATAATAATGGAAGAAAAAAAAAAAAAAAAAAAAAGAAACCAAACCAACCAACCAAACAAAAAACCCAGAACACCAACAAACACTGTAACCACCACAGCTGTAAAGCAGCACTGCTGCCTGGAAGGCAGGTTCACCCCCGCAGCGACCTGCCACATGGTCTGTGTTCTGTTAAAGCACTGTCTGTCACCATAGCTGTGCAGAAAGAAAAAGGAGTATCCTCTTGAAATCAGGCTCAGATTATTTCTGGCTCGCAAAGGGACAGGTTTTAATATGCACTTGCACTCTGCCTCATTACCCAGTACTGGCATCTCCTTCCGTCCATGGATGTATACCTTTTTCCAGCATTTGGAAATTAAAAATCTACTGCATCTGCCAGGATTTTGTTAGTGGTGCATGCCCCAGAATATATCAAAGCACTCTGAACAGATGGGAAGGAATCAGTGTGTTGCATCTCTGCCTTGAAGAAAGGACTGAGCTTGAAAAAAACCTCTGCAGGCAATGTTGTCCCTTCATAACATGCCAGAGACAAGGCCAGCAGCAGTTGTGAGTTGTATCACAGCATGCCACATACAACTGGTGACGTGCTCATATGTGTGGCTTTAGTGGGAGCTAGTGGCCCCATTTCAGCCGGATGAAAGCCCCCATATTGGCCATAGATATGATTATGTCTAAAGCCTGTCCAGTTTGGCAGAGCCATGCTTGGGGACTATGAAACCCAAAGGTCTTCCTCATTTTGTTATGGAGCCCATTTATCTATAAACAGTTTCCCAGGTGCTTTATTTGAAGTAGGTGAATCACCTACAACTTTCCCCAAAACGCTAAATCAAAATGCAAACAAAAAATCCCAGGCTGTGTACTGATGTAAAGTTTTGTGTCCTATGGATTAAGCTTGATATGTATATGCAATAGATACTGGTTTATGCTTAGAAATGGCCTCAGTGAGATTGTTTGTGTCCTGCTCTGCCTGCTGTGACAGGCAGGACAGGCTGCTGGGATACCTCTGCTGTTGCACAGTAGCTCCAGGTGCATTCTAGCAGGACGAGACTGAGCCCCAGTCCACTTGCCCTTTTCTCAAGTTTCCCAAATCACTGGTCATGCCACCCCCTTTCCCTGGAGATGAGACCTGCCTCCCTGCCGCCTGCATGGCCCAAGCTGCCTTCCTATTCCCCAGGAAGCAGAGCTCTCACCTGCGCTTGTGACCCATGAGATTTTGAATGAATTTCTGAACCTGAGCATTTCCTCTCATCTTGCTGTATTCACTGGTAAACAGTCCATCTGAGTGCCTCTGGGACCTGCGGCAGGGAAAATACAGTACAACGGCTGTTCCTCCCAGCCATATGATATGGGACTTATCACAAGACACAGAAATTTCTCTCTCCCCACCATCAAGGAGTCCTGTATCCCTCCCCTTCTCCTGTTCTGTCTCCTTTCATCTTGGGCATCTTCTGGATGAGGCCAGTGCTTAGCCTGGATCTGGAGCCAGAGACAGCTCAGCCCCGTGGACATCCTCCTGACTGCTGGGATCCCATCTCCTGCTGGAGACCTCTATGCCCCAGGAGGGTGGGTTTGGCTGATCCTTACCTCTCCTTGAGGCCCACCAGGTGTTTGACTAGCTGCTGCACATAGGCATTGCCATTCATCTTGCTGAGCTCACTGTGGAAAAGCCCATCAGCATGTCTCTCAGTCCTGGGAAGTAGAAGAGAAAAGGCCTGGTTTTAACACCAGAGAATAATGGGCATTTAAAACTGCTCCCTCAAGGAAAGAGGGTCCCAAACAAAGATGGGCAAGAATTTGTGCTAATTTGGCAAAGTTTCACAAAAAAAGGACAAATCTTATAGGAGTTTAGAAGAAATATTTTTGTTACCAATCACATAGAAAAACTACCTGGTACTTGCTTCTTACTAATATAATCACCTTAGCATAAGGATATGGGAATGTGAGGCTAACACTGATTCGCCACAAAAGAGTAGGACAAGGGACTGGAGAAGTAATAACCACCCAGATACACAAACCATGAGCAGTGGCGGTACCAAAGGCCAGCACTCACAGGTGACTGACTGACAAGCCATTAAAACAAGTGCTCAAGATGTGTCTGTGTGTCTGTGTCTGTCTGTCTGTCTATGCCAGTACAGTCCTACGGAAGCCGGGCCAGGCACTGGTGGTGGCTATGGAAGGGCTGCAGGGGAGTCTCAGCTGGGTCCTCTTCCAACCTAAGTCCTTTGGTCTCTCTGTGCTTTAATTGCCCCTGCACAAGTGGGAAGAGAGACAACCCTGCCAAAGTCTTACATGCAAGGTTGTGAACTGGTGAACTTATAAGACTGACTATTTTGGGTTATTTTTTCATGGGACTAGGCTATTTGAAACAGAAACTTCCACCTCTATCAGCCTCTATAAGTACCTAGCAGGAAAACAGACTCAAGAGTGTCTTTTTTTATTGTAGTTTGATCTGTTTGGGGTCCTGATTTTTCTCCAGAATTAAGTAAAATCAATGTTTCCATTTTTAAGCCAGAAAAAAAATGTTTACAACATTTGCACTCATTTAACTAAATCAATTTAGGGAAGAAAAAAGATCCAACAGCCAAGCAGATGCAAGTTCTGGAAGGAAGATAAAAGGCTGACTTTATAGCTAGCAGGGTCTTTGAACAAAAAGCCACAGAGAAAAGGGAAGCAGAGGCACAAGAAATGCTTACCTCTCCCGGGATGGCAGAGATGCTGAAAAGTGTGATAGGACAATCATGGGAATAATTAGTTGCCACAGACCAGTCATCAGGGAAGCCATGTTCTCTCCTAAATTAAAGCACAAGGTGTTATGAGCAGCAGAACAAATGACCTTGGTCTTTGTCTGGTACAGTTTGCATGTCACACAGAAGACATGGCTATATAAATAACACCACTGTAACTAAATTAGGCAGGAATTCCTGCCAGCAAAGATGGTATTTCTCTAAAATACAAAAGATGAACAGTTAAAAACGTATTGCCAGTTAGTTGGAAGTTGTTTGTAGTTGTTATCCCACCACCAGCACCCAGCAGTCCCGGAACATGCATCTGAGGTTGGCTGTGTGAGATGATGTTTGTGCTGGAGTTTGCTGTGAGTCAGTATAATGTGCCTTGAATACACAGAGAGGTATCATGTGAGTTAATCCATCAGCAGCACAACACTATGGAATAAACGCCGTTCTACTATAAGCTCTGAGAGCTGAGCCTTCAGGAAGAGGATTTAAAGTACCCATGAAAACATACCACACAGACAGCTACTAGTATACCTAGAGGATGCCCAGGAGAAATCCATTTGGGTTTTTTCAGACAAAAAAAGTGGCATGTACCAAATAAAAGTTCATCTACACACAGGGGAAGGGAAGGACTCTTGTATATACCAATATCTGCTTATCCTCTAATCTTTCAAGCAGGAAAAAAGAAATAACACAAATTTTCAGTAGTAGCAGAACCTTGTATTTTGTTTTTTTATGGAAATAAAACCAAAAGAAAACCACATTTTGTTCATCACAAGCCACTGCATGTTTTTCCCTTTGATTTCCAGGCTCTTTTTGCAGCCCTACACCTGCAGAAATGTGTATGTGCCTTTATAAGAGGGTGCTCACACTTCCCAAGGATTACACAGGAGCATTATCTGTAATTTACAGCATGTCTGCCTTCCTCCTGCAAAGAAGTAAACCTTGCTTTCTTAGTCACTGTCCTAGAAACTCTGATAGTACTTTCTAAGCAAAATCAAAGTCTTCCCACTTTGGTTTTACTTTAGTCTTTACCAGCATTAATGGACTGTCCGAGTTTCCTGAATGCTTTCTAGCTGCCCTTCTGGGACTGTTTGTTACTCTAGAGATACCGCAAGATGAGAAGAGGCAAGAGGAGGAAGGACAAGAGTGGGGGATTTGTACAGAAATTTATTCTCTGTAAGCCACAGCACAAATATTTCATGGGGGTTGCAGAGCTGACAGATGAGAGATTTTGCATGATTAAGGAGCCATAAGCTTCATCTCACACACACTTCTGATGCTTTAGTGTTGTGCTTTCCTGCCTGATTTGGCTTTGAGGGGGATGGAATAAGTAAAACAAGAAGGACATTTCAAAGATCGGTTTCTTTTTGGAGTCCAAACAAAACAGACTCCACAATACCGCTTCCCAGCCAAGGGCTGTGAAAGAGCTGAAAACAGCCACCAAAACCAGAGCACATCACCTATCAGGGAAGGGGAATCTGGATCCCGAGCCTGTTCTTCAGTCTGTACAATAGCTGCCATGCAATGCCTTGACCCCCAGCCAGGACCTCACCACAGCATTTTGGCCTTCCTTGTGCCAACCCTGAGTTTGCATTTGTCTTGGAGCACTACATTTAAGAACCCTTTTTAAACTCCATCCCTAGTTCCAGAGTTTCCCCTTTCTCCATAACATTTCTAGCTGCTGATCAAATGGATCAACTTGTCTTTTCCCTTTCTGGACATAATTGTGTCTTTCCTGTGCAAATTATATTTGCTTGCTGAAGTTGCTAGGAACAGTAATGGCTGTTGGGAAACTTCTCCTGTGTAACAGTTATGATGTACTGCATTGTTTTTTTTAATCAGTCAGACCCAGTGTGATCACAGTAGAGCTGTTTAACCTTCTTAAGATACTTCTGAGCTTTTTATTACCCTCCCAAGTGATGCTGGCTCTCAGTAAATGCAAACTGGGACCTTTAGCTGAAAGAAGTGTGCACCAAGCCAGCCCAGGACCTGGGAGCATCTCAGACCTTTCCAGCAGACAAATCTGACTGCTGAAATGTCAGATTGCAGCCAAAGGCTTTGCTGAATCAAGGTTCCCATCAACCTGCAGGAGCACTACTGCTAGGAGAGCTTCCAAAAAGGCTGGTACACAGCCAGTTTGCACACCTCCTTGCTCCTGCCCATCCACTGTGTTCTACCTAAAACTAAAGACCATGTACTTCCAGAAGCCATCTGGTCCAGCTGCTGTTCAGGCTCCATTCTTTCCTCTGGTTGCTCCAGAGGAGGAAAACCCCACGTGTTCCCAGCATTGCTGTGCAGGAGGTGGATGGCCTCATGGCAATAGCTGGGCAAAGCATCACAGAGGCCTGAAATCCACAAAAATTGCAAGAGAGGAGAAAGCAGCCTGACCATGTCAGCACAGCAGTACTCACCAAACCGTGGTCACTCCAGGCTCTCAGCTGTCTCACAGCTACGATGCACCACTGGCCCACTCTTCTCCATGGCCCCCTATAAATCTGCAACTCTTATCAGAAGCAATTATTTGGGTAAAGATATAAATATGAGTAATCATGATTAACAGCAAATAATGCATCCAGGCTGCAATGTCCTTTTAATCTCTCTCTAAACCTGATCAAGTCATTCACAGCAGTTCGATGGACTGTATTTCTGATGATGGGTAATAATTCATGCTTCTGTCTATAATGACAGTAATTTGTTGGGCAAACATCCCTGCACCAACTGAGTCATTATGATTGTCATCATTATCTCTCCTCCTGGCTTTAATTACCTCTTGATAGGAGCTTAATCTTCTGTTCTTCTTTTTTAATTCTGGCTTGGGTTTTGTTTGCAATTGCCAGGAACTGTTGGCGAGTGTATGTGTGTACCTGCAATTTGGCTAAACAATGTGTCACTTTTTTAGGGCAAACATTGTCTGAGCAGTAGGATGAGGACTGACTTTTGCATGAGGGGACAATACCTTTCAAGTTGTGGTTTCACAGCCATGTGGTTTCACAGCCGGTAAAGGTCTGCTGAGAACAGATTGTATCACAGCTTCAAAGGAAGAAGCATACTTATACATGCATAGAAAACATTCTGAATATATTCCCTGCCTTTGCTGGGGTTTGGAGCTGGCTGCTCTCAAATCCTGCTGCTAAAGGTGACACGGAAATGGAGGGAGAAAGTAGGATTACACCCTTTCTCTCCTTTATGCTGTGTAAAGTAGCTTGGAAGGATTAATCGCTGTAAATAAATCTTATCTTCCAATTGGAGAAATAGGAGCTAGCTATATTACACTTTTTCTTGTCTACAGAAAAGAAAAAAAAAAAAAAGCAGAGGGCATTCCCATGACTAGAGGGCTGGGATGGACCTGATTTTCCCCATCATCTTTCCCTTGGAAGAATAACCCATGCACTGATGAGCAGTGAGCCTCAGCAGTACTGCACGTGACTGCAGGCTGCAGCCAGACCCCTGCAAAAGGGAGGGGAAGAAACAGCAGGGACATTCCAGGTCCCATTCCAGGACTGGAGGACCGAGAGGTGCCATGACCACCACCTGGAGAGGGGAGACCATTTCCTTCTTTGAGACAGTGCAGGTCAGTCCTGCACACACCCTGGCATTTCCCAACCATTTTCCTCTCCCTTCTGTAACAACTGCTTTCTTCGGCTGCGTTTGTGCTGGCATTCCTCCTGCAGCCCTCCCACCATCACTCTGATACAACTTGCTGTAGCATTACAGCCTCATTCAACACATTTCATCTCTAGACAACCAGGTGTGGATGCGTTGTGAGTCACATCCTTCTCCCATGGCAGCTGAAAGCTCTTCTTGTGCACCCAGCCCTGCTTTGGGAGCCCCCGGTGACATTTAGTGACATCTGCAGTTCTTGTATTTTTGTTCTTTGCATTTAAATCTTCATATTTTCTGTATTCATGTTTTATGTCTACATCGCTGGTGGCTGGCTTCAGCTTGGGCTCATGGTGTTGCCAAACATCTACAACTGAGAAAGACCATGTAGGAACAAGGAATGGAGGGAAAAAAGTTTATTTTTAAAAGGCTATACAACACATAGGGAGCTAAAAATTACCAATGCGATTTCCTGTCCTTTGCCAATAGCCTCAGTGGGTCTGAAATGACCTCAAGCTCTGGGGGAAATTCAGTTTGCCGTGAGAATCTAAACAGGTCTAGGAAAGGGGCACACAGAGGAGGTTGTAATGACGAAGTGGCCCCATGATGGCAGCAGAGAGTGAGCAGAGGGAGAGTAAAAGCTTCTAGGGACTGGAAGAGCATGAACTAAGTAACCTGATCTATTACTATCTCCTTTACAACAAAAAATGGGGTTTGCCTTGCAGCAACAGTGGCAGAGTGAAAAGGTGATGGAGTAGAAAGGTGTGTGGCCGTATCCAGCACTGCTGCAACATAATGCAGGCGACACCCATGGGTTTGAGCTTAAATGCAGCTCCTGAGGCCCCTAATGCTGAAATTCAGGATGATGCAAAGCAACTCGAGAGCTTTTCCAAGATGAAATTTCTACTTGAATAAACTGGAGCCCAAACCAAATTCCCAGTCCTGAAACATCTGATTCTCCTTTAACCAGGAGGAACATTAAACCCTCATCAGGGGACATTATAGAAACAGGAGTGATAAACAAAACTGCTTAGCAATATCAGCTGAATGGAGCTTTGTGAATTTGCACTTTGCTTTTCCCATTCTTCATTTGTGTGAGCATTCAAAGTGGGAGTGGAGATTCCCCTTGCCTGCAGCCAGCAGGCGCAAAACTAGATTAAGTCATCCATTAATCACTGTAATCTCACCCATCTTCTCCATGCAGCACCATTGCAGAGAAAAGCTCCCAGTTATTGACTCCAGCTCCTTGCACAGCTGCCGTACAGGAAGCTTCAGGAAGTCAGGGCTGAACTGATCCTTGCCACCAATGGTGACTTACTTGTTCCTGGGACATAACACAGTGTTTACAGGATGTATAGCAAAGTGCCACATACAGGTAACACTAAGGAGCAATGAGGCCATGCATCAACACTCCTTGAAGAGGGCAGGGAGAGATGCCCCAGAGCTGGAGGGAAAAGGGGTCTGTGAGCCTTGGGGCCATCCCTGAGCAGGAGGTGAGCTGCCCTGAGGACATTGCCAGGTGTAAAGCTACCAGGATCTTTTGCAGTCACTTGTGCTTAGGCTTGACACCAACTGACATGTGCAGCGTGGAGAGACCTGTGGTGAGCTGCATTAAGTAAATCCACTTGCCACGAGGGTGAGGGCTATTCACAGCAGACACGCTGTTGGCTGGGGACACCCTCATGTGCGGCCATGAGCAAAGGTTATGAAACAGAAGGGCCATCCCCACTGGGACACCAAGGCTCTGCATCAAAGGGTACCTGAT